AGTCATGCTGGCCACATGACCCGGAAGCTGTACGCCGGCTCCCTTGGCCAATAAAGCGAGATGAGCGCCGCAACCCCAGAGTCAGTCACGACTGCACCTAATGGTCAGGGGTCCCTTTACAATAATAATAATAATAATAATAATAATAATAATAGAAGGCCTTGCTTCTCAGCATCAAATCACTCAGGGATCTACCACCAGCCTACTTTCTCGCTGCTCTGCATTAAGCATAGGTAGTATTCAAGGACGCGGGTGGCGCTGTGGTCTAAACCACTGAGCCTCTTGGGCTTGCCGATCAGAAGGTCAGCGGTTCGAATTCCTGCGATGGAGTGAGCTCCGGATGCTCTGTCCCAGCTCCTGCCAACCTAGCAGTTCAAAAGCATGCCAGTGCAAGTAGATAAATAGGTACGGCTGTGGTGGGAAGGTAAACGGCGTTTCTGTGTGCTCTGGCTTCCGTCACAATGTTCAGTTGTGCCAGAAGCAGTTTAGTCATGCTGGCCACATGACCTGGAAAGCTGTCTGTGGACAAACGCCGGCTCCCTCGGCCTGAAAGTGAGATGAGCTCCGCAACCCCATAGTCGCCTTTGACTGGACTTAACTGGACTTACATTGTATTCAATGAGTTGTGTCAGGAGGACCTTAGAGGGTGGAAAAAATGAGAACCTCAAGCCCACAGCAATAGGGGAAATGTAATATCTGGGTCTTTTTGCTCAGAACCACATGTGTTTCTTGTCTCTTATAACTGAAAACTGTCTCTTTTTCTTTTGCAGCTTTTCTATGGAAATGTTGACAAGGACACACCAGTGATGACTGAATTTCCAGAGCCAAAGGTTGCCCGCTTCATTCGCATCTTTCCACTGACTTGGAATGGTAGTCTTTGCATGAGGCTGGAAGTTCTGGGCTGCCCTCTTTCAAGTAAGCAGGAGCTAGACTAGAGAGTCCATATTACTGGAAGGCAGAAGGAGGAGGAGAGAGGAATGAAGGGTTGCCTCCAGTGCTAGTTCTATTTCATTAATTTATAGGAGTCTACTTCCATGAAGTAGGGACGTGGGTGGCACTGTGGTCTAAACCACTGAGCCTTGGGCTTGCCGATCAGAAGGTTGGCTGTTTGAATCCCCGTGACGGGGTGAGCTCCCGTTGCTCAGTCCCAGGTCCTGCCAACCTAGCAGTTCGAAAGCACGCCAAAAAAGTGCAAGTAGATAAATAGGTACCACTCTGGCGGGAAGGGAAACGATATTTCCGTGCGCTGCTCTGGTTTTGGTGTTCCATTGTAGCAGAAGCAGTTTAGTCATGCTGGTCCCATGACCCGGAAAAACTGTCTGCGGACAAACGCTGGCTCCCTCGGCCTGTAAAGCGAGATGAGTGCGGCAACCCCAGAGTCGTCTGCGACTGGACTTAACTGTCAGGGCTCCCTTTACTTTTACCTTTTTTTACTTCCATGAATAACATTTTAATTACTTTTTTTGAAGAAGCTGTGGATTGTATCCCACTAACGGTATTTTCTGTTTTGTTGTTAAAATGTTATTGGTACTTACCAAACTTTCAGATTTTATTTAAACTGCTTTCTCTATTTAAAAAGCAGCGTATATAAATATATTAAATAATAGTATAAATAATATGATCAATTTCTGCCTTTGAGTCCCTCTTTTAATTTTTTTGCAGGCATCCACAGCTATTACAGCCTGCAGAACGAAGTGATGACATCAGTAGACAACCTTGACTTCCGCCATCACAACTACAAGGACATGAGACAGGTGAGGAGAAGAGCCTCAGCCTTGACATTTGCTGCTTTCAAGGGGCTTTGGTTAGGTACAGTGGTACCTTGGTTCTCAAACTTATTCTGTTCCGGAAGTCCGTTCCAAAACCAAAGCATGCTTTCCCATAGAAAGCAATGCAAAACGGAGACTTCCGGGGGCGGCGCGAACGGCGAATGGCGGTCCTCTTCTGAACGGGAGAGGAGGCTCCACAGACAACGGGTCGTCCGCTACGGCGAAGCGGAGACCCACATCGGAAAACCCCAGGCAGCAAGAGCCTGGGGTCTTGGGGCTCGGTGGGCGCCCAGAGCGACCCTCCAAACGTGAAAGGAACCCCGTAAGGGGCTCCGGAGCGTGGAGGGGGGTTGCGGCGCTGAGAGCTGCTTCACAGTCCGTGGAGCGAAGCCGCGCTGCTGTTGCCGGTGAGCGCTGATCCCTTTTCCTGTCAAAATACGGATTCGGATGAAAAGCAACTTATTCGTGAGTAAAGACTGAATTACTTGAAATTAGAGACTTTAAATGAAAAATTCTAATTGGTTTGAAGAGGCGGAGAGACGTGGAAACAGGAAGTCCGTCTTCCGCAGCCATTGAACTTGAAAAAAGCAACGAGCTGGAGGAGTGGAGGCTGAAAGAAAGAGATTTTAAACTTTACAGATCTAAGCATCTATTGGACTTGCAATTGAAGGTAAAGACTTTAAGTTAAAGATTTGGAATCATTACTTGCACTTGACTTTCCTCCTTTTATTGGATTACAAATTAGAAGGTGAAACCCAGAGTCAGGAGCTGCCTGAACATTGAGAGACTGAGCTGTCAGTATTGCAGATTTGGATACTGTATATTGGAACTTGCAACAATCTGAGGGTATTGAGACCTTTTAAATTTGAAACATTCTTTTTTTGAGACAAATAAGCACTGTCTGTAACAAAGTGACCATTTATAAACTCTGCTAAATATTTGTATCTGAAGGTTCTTGGATATTAAATTAGACTCTGAAAGACATTTTAGGCTCCTCTAGAGGATCGGATTAAAACAGTGACTTTACATGTACATTTACTTTTGATTCCCTTGTTGGCTGCCGCTCTGGGCCTTTCCATTCCCATGGGAAACTCAGTGTGACCTTGACTGATAGATAACGTTGGAATGAGTGGCACAAGAAGAAGAGGGTGGCCTCAGGAGTATCTGTTTCTGTTCTAGACAAAATCTTTGAAAAATTGGAAGCTTTGGACAAGAAAGTAGATGTGCAATCAGCAAAGATTGACAAAAATACAGAATGTCTAAATAAATTAACCATACAAGTGGTACAGAATACACAAGCAATTGGACAGTTAACGGAGGCCTCAGCAGAAAATCGGAAATTGGCTGAGGACACCAGACAAAAATTAGAAAATTTAGAGCAAGAGGTAAGACCACTTACTAAACAAGTTGGGGAGCACCAGATTTATCTTTCTATGATAGAACTGCGAAATCGTGAGAACAATCTGAGGATTAGATCATTACAAGAGGCAGAAGAAGGAAATTTAACTGAATTTTTGACCAAAGAATTCTCCAAGTTCTGGAATTTGGAAGAAAAGGACTTTAAAATTGTGTCAGCTTTCAGACTTGGAAGATTCATAAAGAAGGAGAGGCCCAGAGACTGTTTGATAACATTGAGATCAAAGGAGGAAAGGGATAAGATTTTGGGCCTACATTACGGAAAGTCACTGGAGGTTTTGGACAGAAGAATTGAAATATATAAAGATATTCCAAGACAACTGCTGGATCTTAGAGCCGCCTATTCTGAACTTGCTAAACTATTAAGGAGCAATGCAATTCCATTCAGGTGGGAATTTCCCCAAGGAATATCTTTTACTTTTAGAGGGAGAAAGGTTAAAGTTAGAACATTGGAAGAGAGAGACAAATTTTTGACTACATACGGAGAGGACCTTCAAAAAGGAATTGAATGACCTTCTGGGCCTGGGGCAACACCAGCATTAACACCCGCACCTGGGGAACCTGACGATCCAGAGAAGATACCACCCCGTGAGAAATCACCAGATTGATCCAGGATGTCTCTGCAATTGCTGAGCTGGAATATTAATGGTTGTAACATTCCGGAAAAAGGAAGAAAATATTTCACATATTAAAAAAGAACAATTGGACATTATCTGTTTACAAGAAACACATGTAACGAGGCTCCATAGAAAAGTGTTAATAAATAAAAGATTGGGCCAGGAATTTGTATCGTCGGACAAAGTTAAGAAGAGAGGCGTGGTGATGTATGCAAAAGAGAGCCTGTCACCTAAATTCTTATTTAAAGATGAACATGGAAGAATCTTGGCTATTGAGATACAACATCAAGGAGAGAAACTGTTGATATTAGGAATCTATGCACCTAATGAAGGGAAATCGGAATTTTACAAGAAGCTGCATGAGACAATGCTGGACTATCTGGATTACAACAATATCATAATGATGGGAGATATGAATGGGGTCGTATCAACTAATATGGACAAGTCACAAAGTCAAAATGTTACAAAAGACGGCAGACTACCTAAAACCTTTTTTGAAATGACTGACAATATGGATTTGATTGATATTTGGAGGACAAAGAACCCACTAGGAAGAGAGGGAACATTCTTTTCTGAAGCCCAACTGACCTGGACAAGAATCGACCAAATTTGGATTTCTAGAGGCCTGGCACCTAAGGTTAGAAAAGTGGAAATCTGCCCAAAGACCTGTTCCGACCATAATGCAGTAAAGATGGATATGACACTACTACCAACTGGATCCTTTAGATGGAAGATGAATGACAATTTGTTTAGAGACCAGGAAATTACCAAGAAGGCCCAAAAAGTCTTGAAGGATTACTTTGAGATAAATATGAATACTACGGTGGAAAAAAGAATCGTCTGGGACGCAAGTAAAGCTGTAATGAGGGATTCTTAATACAACAGAATGCAGTAAAGAAAAGAACACAAAATGAGAAAAAGATAAGATCTTGGATAAAATAAAAGAATTAGAGAAGAAATTAAGAGTGAATCCGAAGTCACAGCCAACTCTGAGAGAAATTAAACTTTATCAAACACAATACTCTAAATTGATAAATCAGGAAATTGAATGGAAGGTTAAATTAATGAAACAAAAACGCTTGAGTCGGCGAATAAATGTGGAAAACTGCTAGCTTGGCAGTTGAAGAGAAGACAAAGATTAAATACGGTTACAAACTTAGAGGTTGATGGAAAAATCATTCAGAATCCAGTGGATATTAGAAAGTGTTTCCAGAGATATTTCAAAAAACTATACACCCAAGGGCCGCAAGACGAAGTTGAGATTAAACAATTTTTGGCAAAAAAATGGACTATCTAAATTGTCACAAGAAAATAGGACAATCCTGAACTCTAAAATAACACTACAGGAGATTGAACAAGCCATCCAGAACATGCAACTCGGCAAATCTCCAGGGCCAGATGGGCTGACCTCCAAGTACTATAAGACATTAAAAGACTATTTGATACAACCTTTGATGGAGGTCAGCAATGAAATTATGGAGGGGAAGAGGGCACCGGAGTCGTGGAAGGAAGCGTTTATCACATTAATACCAAAGTCGGAAGCTGAAAAGACACAACTTAAGAACTACCGTCCCATCTCCCTTTTAAATGTGGATTACAAAATATTTGCAGACATTTTGGCAAGTAGATTTAAAAAAGTTTTAAATGAAGTAATTCATAAGGACCAGGCTGGCTTTCTCCCAGGTAGACATCTGTTTGCAAATACAAGGAACATTATTGACATTTTGGAACTTTTGCAAACAGATATAAATACAAAAGCAGTTTTAATTTTTATAGACGCGGAGAAGGCCTTTGACAACATCTCTTGGAAATTTATGATGGGAAACTTAAAAGAGATGGGAGTGGGACGGGGTTTTGAGAATGGGATTGAGGCGATATATTCAGAACAGAAAGCTAAATTGATAGTTAATAATGTGGTTACAGAAGAGTTCAAAATTGAAAAAGGGACACGACAAGGTTGCCCTATCTCCCATTTGTTATTTATTTCGGTTCTGGAAGTGCTATTGAACATAATTAGAGGGGATCGGTTGGTGGAAGGAATTCAGGTCGGTCAGAAACAATATAAATTAAAAGCCTTTGCAGATGACCTGGTTTTGACCCTGCAGAAGCCAGAGCCAAGTACGAAAAGAGTATTACAACTGATTAATGACTTTGGTCGGGTGGCTGGATTTAAATTAAATAAACAGAAAACCAAGGTTTTGGGGAAAAATTTGACAGATACAGAGTCAGAACGGTTTCAGAATGAGACGGAACTTAATGTGGTTAAAAAGGTAAAATACCTAGGGGTAAATATAACAGCAAAAAATCTAAGTCTATTTAAGGACAACTATGAAAATGTTGGACAGAAATTAAGAGAGACTTAGATAGTTGGTCAAAATTGAAACTTTCTTTGTTAGGCCGAATTGCTGCTATTAAGATGAATGTATTGCCAAGGATGTTGTTTTTATTTCAAACACTTCAGGTTCTGGACAAAACGGAGTGCTTTCAGAAGTGGCAGAGAGACATTTCTAAGTTTGTCTGGCAGGGCAAAAAGCCCAGAATTAAGTTTAAGATATTAACTGATGCAAAACAAAGAGGGGCTTTGCCCTGCCAGACTTAAAGTTGTATTATGAAGCCGCAGCGTTCTGCTGGCTAAAAGATTGGCTACTCCTTGAAGACACTGATGTGTTAGATCTGGAAGGGTTTAATAATGCTTTTGGATGGCATGCATATTTATGGTATGACAAGGTTAAAGCAAATAAGGCCTTTAAGAACCATATTGTCAGAAAATCACTGTTTAATGTCTGGACAAAATATAAAGACTTGCTGGAAAATAAAACACCCAGGTGGCTTTCACCACTAGAAGCTAAGGCCCGAAAAGACCCAATATGGAGGCTAAATGGCCAAAATACTGGGAAATACTAGAAAAGGATGGAGACAATTGGAAATTGCAGAGTTTGGAGAAAATGAAAGACAAAGTGCGAGATTGGTTACATTACGCTCAGATTAAAGAAGTTTTTAAAAATGATAAGAAATTAGGGTTCCAGGTGGAGAAATCGAAACTAGAAACAGAATTGTTAGAACCAAAGATTAAGGTACTATCAAGGATGTATAACTTGCTGTTAAAATGGAATACACAAGATGAAACGGTTAAATCGGCTATGATAAGGTGGGCACAGGACATTGGGTATAATATTATGTTTGAGGACTGGGAAAGGTTGTGGAGTAATGGATTGAAATTTACCGCATGTAACGCTCTGAAAGAGAATGTAATGAAAATGATTTATAGATGGTATATGACCCCAGTCAAACTTGCAAAAATTTACCACCTGTCTGACAATAAGTGTTGGAAATGTAAAGAGTGTGAGGGAACGTTTTTCCACCTCTGGTGGACTTGCCCTAAAGTGAAGGCGTTCTGGGAAATGATCTATAATGAATTGAAAAAGGTATTTAAATATACCTTCACTAAGAAACCAGAGGCCTTCCTTTTGGGTATTGTCGGCCAAGGGGTGGCAAGGAGGGACCAGACATTTTTTATGTATGCAACAACAGCAGCAAGGATACTTCTCGCAAAATACTGGAAAACTCAAGATCTACCCACACTGGAAGAATGGCAGATGCAACTGATAGACTACATGGAACTGGCTGAAATGACCGGCAGAATTCGTGACCTGGGAGAAGAGAGGATAGAGGAGGATTGGAAGAAATTTAAGAATTATCTACAAAAACATTGTAATTTGAGTGAATGTTAAATAAGATGCTAGACTAAAACAACTGAGCACCACTAAATCTAGAATTTTTTTAAGAAAACAAATAAGATTGTGAAAATTTAACTCCTTTCGAGAATTATAAGATTATGAAATATAGAAGGGATATAAGAATTTAAATAAGATGATAAATTGCTGATAAAATGTTATAACGATGAAAGTGGGAGCGGGAGATGTGAGGAAGTCCAAAGAAAATGTGAAACTATGTTAAGACAAATGTTATATTGTTCATCAGGTCTATTTTTATTGTAAAACCCAATAAATTGCTTTAAAAAAAAAAAAAAGAAAGCAATGCAAAACGGATCAATCCATTCCAGACTTTTAAAAACAACCCCTAAAACAGCAATTTTACTATCTAAACAAGACCATTGATCCATAAAATGAAAGCAATAAAAAATGTACTGAAGTCATGCAATCAATCAATCAATAGCTCAAATGGGTTCCACACAGTCACAAAAACAAAACAAAAAAGAGCTACAAAAACAAAAATGCAAAATAAAGAGCAAAAACAGACAGACCTCAGCGTAACTCTCAAAACAGAAGTGTGGCAGTCAAAACAGAGCACGTTCGGCTTCCGAAAAAAGTTTGCAAACCGGAACACTTACTGCTGGGTTTGCAGTGTTTGGGTTCCAAGTTGTTTGAGTACCAAGGCATTTGAGAACCAAGGTACCACTGTATAAGCAAGAAAGGGAGAAAATGTGGCAATGACTCAATCCCAGAACCACTCCCAGTGGCTCGGCTCAAGCAGAATAGGGTTCCTGAGATGTCTATCTACCCATTTCACTGCTGCTCTGCCTTTACTGAACATTTGCTCTGATTTGTTTGCTGGGAGGTTATACGCCAAGGATCACTCATCCTGGTTTGTGGCACGGTGTTTATTCGTCTTCCCGTTAATCATTTATTCATCCCACACTTTTCAATGTCTTTCCCTGTAACTTGCCTAACCGCAAAAGTCAGTCTCTCTTTTCTCCGAAGTGGATTTGTTGTGCTAGGTCAGGGGTCGGCAAAGTTTTTTGTGACTTGGGCCGGTTCACGGAGCTTCCTGCAGCCAATGGGAAGCCAGCCAGCGTCACAGAAGGCAGTTCCCGCCCTGCTCCGCACCGGTTTAACGCAGCTCATGGGAGCCGACTGAGCGCGGGGGGGTGTCCCTGAGCAGACGGCGGGGGTCCCTGGGCTGGTTAAACGACCCCCATGGGCCGCTTGTGGCCCACGGACCTTAGGTTGCCGACCCCTGTGCTAGGTTGTGCCGGAGTTCTTTGTTGTTGTTGTTGTTTAGTCGTGTCCGACTCTTCGTGACCCCATGGACCAGAGTACACCAGGGACTCCTGTCTTCCACTGCCTCCCGCAGTTTGGTCAAACTCATGTTCATAGCTTCAAGAACACTGTCCAGCCATCTCGTCCTCTGTCGTCCCCTTCTCCTTGTGTCCTCCATCTTTCCTAACATCAGGGTCTTTTCCAGGGAGTCTTCTCTTCTTATGAGGTGGCCAAAGTATTGGAGTCTCAGCTTCAGGATCTGTCCTTCCAGTTAATCAACTTCAATTGTGCAAACCTGAACTTCCAGGTCTGTGCTTGACTCCCTCCCACAAAATGCTCAATCTGGAGGTGCCATCTGTATTTAGAAGTCCTCTCTGCAAATGAAAAAAATAAATAAAAATTGGGAAAGAAAGGTGTTCCTAGGAACATTATACAAAAGCTGCTCTTTTTATGAATCGGAACTCCTTGCTTCCATCATGCATAATAAGCCTCACCTTTTTCTTCTGAGGACAGTTGGTTGAGTGGTCAGCAAATTGTGATGCTTTCTCTCCCTCCAGCTTATGAAGGTGGTGAATGAAGAGTGTCCCACCATCACCCGCATCTACAACATTGGCAAGAGTTCTCGAGGACTTAAAATCTACGCCATGGAGATCTCTGACAATCCAGGAGAGCATGAGCTAGGTGAGAGATGCACACCATTTGTTGTTGTTGTTGTTTAGTCGTTTAGTCGTGTCCGACTCTTTGTGACCCCCTGGACCAGAGCACGCCAGGCACTTCTGTCTTCCACTGCCTCCTGCAGTTTAGTCAAACTCATGCTGGTAGCTTCGAGAACACTGTCCAACCATCTCGTCCTCTGTCATCCCCTTCTCCTTGTGCCCTCCATCTTTCCCAACATCAGGGTATTTTCCAGGGAGTCTTCTCTTCTCATGAGGTGGCCAAAGTATTGGAGCCTCAGCTTCAGGATCTGTCCTTCCAGTGAGCACTCGGGGCTGATTTCCTTCAGAATGGATAGGTTTGATCTTCTTGCAGTCCATGGGACTCTCAAGAGTCTCCTCCAGCACCATAATTCAAAAGCATCAATTCTTCGGCGATCAGCCTTCTTTATGGTCCAGCTTTCACTTCCATACATCACTACTGGGAAAACCATAGCTTTAACTATATGGACCTTTGTTGGCAAGGTGATGTCTCTACTTTTTAAGATGCTATCTAGGTTTGTCATTGCTTTTCTCCCAAGAAGCAGGCATCTTTTAATTTCGTGGCTGCTGTCACCATCTGCAGTGTCATGGAGCGCAAGAAAGTAAAATCTCTCACTGCCTCCATTTCTTCCCCTTCTATTTACCAGGAGGTGATGGGCCCAGTGGCTATGATCTTCGTTTTTTTGATGTTGAGCTTCAGACCATATTTTGCGCTCTCCTCTTTCACCCTTAATAAAAGGTTCTTTAATTCCTCCTCACTTTCTGCCATCAAGGTTGTGTCATCTGCATATCTGCACGCCATTAGATGGTCTCAAAGTGCCCATCAGCACATTTCAATTTTGACCCCATCTGCACTCTGCATTTTAGGCACTGTTCATACCACTTTAAGCAGTCATGGCTTCCCCCAAAGACTCCTGGGATCTGCCTCAAAGCCCATTACAGCCCTGAGGCATTGAGGCAGGCGAGGGCAAGTATTCAGATGAGCAAACATCCCTGCAAGCCCAGTGCAAAGTCATGTTTTTGTAAGTCTGAGTCAACGCATCTGATGACATGCCCCATTTCCCAGAGTTAACTTGCTGGCACACGAAGCCCTGGGAGTGAACCGTGTAAGTGTATGATGTTAACCTAGTTCGATCATGACTCTCTTCCAAAAAACAAAAGAACATTATTTTAACAAGGTCTGCTCTCCATATAGTCGGGTGAGCACGCTTGAGTTATATTAACTGCCTTGGGTTATTTGCTTGGCTTTCACCTTTGTCAACATTTCCATAACAATGTCTGGGCCTGATGTTCAGATTTTTTTATTTATTATTTTTAAAAAGTATGCTTACCATAGCCATCTCCTTAGCCTTTTATAAATACTGGTACCAAAAAAAGCCCCAAACCTCCTACTCCATCCCACAACTCCTTTGGAACAAATCCGTTGTGCCAGGACTTTTTGTAAGCCAGCTTCGTAGATTGTCTGGACTCTCCATCTTAATACTCTGAGCTGGGAAACAAAAGTCCCAAAAGGTTTATGAATGCTTGGCTTCTCTGGATGCCATTCAACATTTTGACTGACGCAATTATAAACATGGAATATTCCAGTACTGAGAGAGAGAGAGGCTGAAGCAGAGGCCAAAAGCTCACAGCTTCCAGATTTCTCTGGAGTACTGGCAACATTTGGGTCATAGGAGCCAACTCCTAGGGGCTGAGGTCCCTTCAGCTCCCCAAAATATTTGAGGGGGCCAGCCCTCCCAATTGATGGACATTGCCATTCAAATGGGGTGTTTGCACCATGCCTTGTGATCAAGTTATATGCAGTGGGGCTTACCTGTCCCTCCAATATTTTTTAAAAGTTGGCACCCCTGATATGGATGGTGTGGAAAGGGGGGTATTAGTACAGATGAAAAAAAAACATTAAAGTAATTAACAGTATGAGTTTTAGTCAGTCAATTGATGAATGAATAATTTGGGTTGTAGCCAAAGTTGGTCCTTCTCATGGAAGTCAATGGACATGACTGACTTGGATTCCTCAATTATTATTATTCTTAAAATTGATTGTAAAAAAAGAAAAGAAAGTCAACAAAAAAACATACCCCAAAGGATAATACAAATTACCAAAAAAAGTTAATTTCTTACAACACAGCTTCTTTTATGACTTCCAGTCACCCCATCAAGTGTCCCAGGTTTCTTCAGAATAGCGCACTTTTCATTATCACTCCAAACTTCTCCCAAATTTTTATTTTAATAAGGTTTATTATGTCCATACAGGGGTCAGTCTAAGCCTGCCAGAGAATTCACATTTTTTACAATGCTCTTAAAGATATTTTTAATTTTAATGGGTCTCTTCTGAGTACAACTCAGCAGCCCCAAAGAAGCTCAATAGCTCTTGCCTGTCCATATTGGAGAGTTTGAGGCTGTCTGGTTAGAATGCAACAGGTTGGCAGCAACTTCATCTAGATTCTCTGGAGCTAAGAATCATGACTTCAGTGGTACATGACACCAGTCAAGCTTGCAAAAATTTACCATTTGCCTGACAATAAATGTTGGAAATGTAATGAGACTGAAGGTACATTCTTTCACCTTTGGTGGACATGCCCAAGGATTAAGACATTCTGGGAGATGATTTATAACGAAATGAAAAAGATATTTAAATATACTTTTCTGAAGAAACCAGAGGCCTTTCTCCTGGGCATGGTCGGCCAAATGGTGCCAAAAAAGGATAGAACTTTTTTTATGTATGCAACAACAGCAGCAAGAATACTCATGGTAAAGTACTGGAAGACACAAGATTTACCCACCCAGGAAGAATGGCAGATGAAGTTGATGGACTATATGGAAATGGCGGAAATGACTGGCAGAATCCGAGACCAGGGAGAAGAATCGGTGGAAGAAGATTGGAAAAAGTTTAAAGACTATTTACAGAAATACTGTAAAATTAATGAATGTTAGAAAAATGTTGGAATGAAGTTATATGGCTTTAGTAGAAATGTTATAAGGAATTAAGTATAAATAGATTAATAGAGTATTAAAGGGAAAAATAAGGTTAGAATGTGTTAAGATAATTATAGGATAGAAAGCAGAGGAAGATGGAAAGGAATTGCTGAAACAATTAACAGAAGTGGAATACAAAAAGGGAGGTGTGAGGAGATCATGGAAATAAGTGAATGAAAGATAAGATGTTGAAATTGGATTGTGTTTTAAATGGTTTTTGTTTTGTTAGTCTTATGTGTTAGTGTTTTGTAGTGTTTTTGTATTGTATTGTTGTATTTTTATTTTTATTGTTTTTCTGTAGTGTTGTAGTTAAACTGTTGGAAAATTAATAAATATTATTTTTTTAAAAAAGAATCATGACTTCAGAGTGACCTTTTTTAAAAAAAATAATATTTATTAAAATTTCAGAAGAAAAAGATTACATTAATAAGAAAAATAACAATAAAGAAAGAAAAATACAAAGTACAAAAAAGAAAAAACAGTTAAAAACAATTCCATCTTTTCATCGCTTCTCTTATGTTTACTTGTTTCCCGGACCTCCTCATACCTCCCTCTTTTGTATTCCAATTCAATTTGTTAGTCCAGCAATTCCTTTCCCTCCTTTTTAATCCTAATCTTTACTCTTGATATATTATAACATTAAATTTTTACATATTAAAAACCAATTTTTTCCATATTCTTTTATACCAGTACAGCTAGAAACCCCTTAACTTCAATCCAACATCATTCTAACATTCGACTTCAGAGTGACCTTACTTAGGTGAGCCTTTTCTAATGGAGCAGCATGGCAAACCTGGCTTTTTCTTCGCCTTCTTGCAGGAGAGCCAGAGTTCCGCTACACGGCAGGAATCCACGGCAATGAGGTGCTGGGTCGGGAGCTGCTGCTCATGTTGATGCAGTTTATGTGCAAGGAATACAAGGATGGGAACCCTCGTGTGAGGAACCTGGTGACGGAGACCCGCATTCACCTCGTCCCCTCACTCAACCCCGACGGCTATGAGATTGCCAGCCAAATGGTAAGTCTGGATGGGATCAGGCTTTGCAGTGTGGATTGAGAGACTCTGAAGTAGGAATGGGCTTCGATTTCTCTCCATTTCTTATTTTTCCAGCTCAAGCTCTGTTTTCCACATTTCCACTTGAGTTCGCGACTTTAAAAAAAAAAGTCATGAAAATTCAATTTCATTTTAGGGTGAATTTCTTCTCATACGCAGTTTTCTGAATGAACATTTGCCTGATTTACACACATTTTTGCAAGGCGACTTAAAAAAATATAATGCATCTTATGTGTCATATTCACTAATATGTGCATTTATATGCACACTTTATACTAGTGCATGCATTTTTGTACACATTACCTGGCTGGGGAACTGCACTGCCAAATTCAGAAAGTGCAAATTTCGACAGGTGGGTATGTTTTGCATCTTGTTTCAGAAAGTGCAAATTGGGTACATTTGCCATTAAATGTACCGTAAATTTAATTTAGTTTATCCCCCATCCCAACTCTAAAGAGAGGGAAGAGAAGTAAGGGTTGGAGCGGGGGAGGGGGTTTAGATTGAAGAAAACTCTATCATCTATCTATCATCTATCTATCATCTATCAATCTGTCTATCTATATCTATCTATCATCTATCTATCTATCATCTATCATCTATCTATCTATCATTTATCTATATCTATCTATCATCTGTCTATCTATCATCTATCATCTATCTATCATCTATCTATCATCTATCTATCTATCTATCTATCATCTATCTATCTATCTATCTATCTATCTATCTATCTATCTATATCATCTATCTATCTATCATCTATCATCTATCTATCTATCTATCTATCTATCTATCTACTCTCTCTCTCTTTCTCTCTGTCTCTCTCTCTGCCTTCTGAAAAGGGATTCATAATGTTTTACTGGTCTTGCTAGCCAAACTAAAGATGGTGATGGGCAGGATCTAGTTATGGTTGTTCTGTAGCAGTTTGTATTGAGCAGTATTAATTGTTTGCTCAATATGTTTGTTTTTGCCTCGTTTACATGCTGTTGTGTTTTTTGATATGATTATATAGACTAAAACGTTTGCTATTTTTTAAATGCTATTGTTAATATTGTGAGTCAGTTTGGGCTCAACGTTGTTGCTGGAAAAGTGAAAAAAAGTTAAATATCAAACTTCTGCAGCAAAATGACCCAACAACCCCCAGGCTTCCATTCTACCCTGTGCAGCTGGGGAAGAGGCAAATATCCCTATGCCACTGCCAAAACAACACTCTCCCATCCCTGCAGCTCCAAGGCTGGAGGAATGCCAGTCGTTCAACATACTCACCAGAGGACAGTAGTACCAAGCACACATTTGAAAGCCTGCTTGTAATTGAGGCTACCTGAAGAGCAAACCTGTGATTTTTGTCACCAGTGTGAATAACCGTGAGACCACATCCTCTTTCTCTTTGCAGGGCTCTGAGCTGGGGAACTGGGCCCTGGGGCACTGGAGTGAGGAAGGGTACGATATCTTTGAGAACTTTCCTGATCTCAACAGCGTCCTCTGGGCTGCAGAAGAGAGGAAATGGGTACCGCACAAAGTCCCCAACCACCATATCCCCATCCCTGAGCACTATCTCGCAGAGGACACTGCTGTAAGTATTCTCTTGCTTCCGTACAAGCTTGACTTGGCATTCAAATCCTGAAAAGGGCAGCTGCGGGAGAATAGACGGACGCGGGTGGCACTGTGGGTTAAACCACAGAGCCTAGGACTTGCCGATCAGAAGGTCGGCGGTTCAAATCCCCGTGACGGGGTGAGCTCCCATTGCTCGGTCCCTGCTCCTGCCCATCTAGCAGTTTGAAAGCACACCAAAGTGCAAGTATATAAGTAGTTACCGCTCCGGCGGGAAGGTAAACGGCGTTTCCGTGTGCTGCTCTGGTTCGCCAGAAGCGGCTTAGTCATGCTGGGCACATGACACGGAAGCTGTACGCCGGCTCCCTTAGCCAATAAAGTGAGATGAGCGCTGCAACCCCAGAGTCGGCCATGACTGGACCTAACAGTCAGGGGTCCCTTTACCTTTACTCTCCCCACTGGGAAACAATTTTTTTGTTGCATTGACACTGGCAGTTGTTCTAACCTAATTTCAACGTGCTGATTTCATATCTGAAGTTGGTTTTGTTCTGTAAGCTCTAGGTTTTTTTTTGCAATTCATGTTTTTCACTTTTCACCATAATCTTTGTTTTTCACAATGCAAGAATTCAATATTTTATTAAACACATAGCCAAAGTAGTAGAATATGAGTATAAATGTAAGCGACTTATATAGCACTGAACATGAACAATAATTACCATGTGGTTAGGGTAGATCAACATGTCAGTGTCCACTTATCCCCAGTGTAAATCTGACTTATCGGCAAAAGTCGGAAATTGAAAGAGAAGTATAGCATGTACACAAAAATCAATTTCAGATTTGAAATCAGCATTGACAGAACATATAAGAACAGTTGAAAAATCTCATGCAACAGAAAATGGGGAAAAAAAAATGTTCCCCAGTGTTGGTTTTTATTTATTGAATTGGTCTACAAAGGCATTGCATTGGCTTACTTAGCAAATGGATACATTTGGGGGAACTTTGGTTAACAGCTTGTGGTTCACCTGGAGATAACTAAGCCACGAGCCTGGGGTGGGGTGCAGGGGTGTACCTAGTTGCTCCGGCACCCAGAGTGGTGGGGGCAGGGCGAGCCGTCCATGGGGGCACCGCGGTAAGATGCCCACGGAGTCTGCCTGGCGGACGCCAGCCCCATGCTGCTCTTTTGGGCAGCGTGGGCCACTGCATCACTCCCAGGAGAGATGTGTGACTCAGGCGTGCTGCAGGCCAGGTTCTGCGGTAAGTACCACCCCCCGCGGTGTGCCATTTTGTCACCCCCTCAGGGATTACACCCGGGGCGGACCGCATCCCCATCCCACCCCCTTCCTACGCCCCTGGTGGGTTGACACACTAAGCCCAGCAATGGCTCTGTTCAGCACAGCATAGCAGCAGAATGTTTGCTTGTTTGTGCCAAGTTCGGCTTAGTGCTGTGTGCAAACCATATATATATACAGTGGTACCTCAGGTTACATACGCTTCAGGTTACATACGCTTCAGGTTACAGACTCCGCTAACCCAGAAATATTACCTCGGGTTAAGAACTTTGCTTCAGGATAAGAACAGAAATCGTGCTCCGGCGGCAGGGCAGCAGCAGGAGACCCCATTAGCTAAAGTGGTGTTTCAGGTTAAGAACAGTTTCAGGTTAAGAACGGACCTCCGGAACGAATTAAGTACTTAACACAAGTTACCACTGTATATGGAAAACAACTACCTTGACATGGGGATTTTTTTGGTGGGCAGAGCTGGGCAGATGAGGCAGAGTTTAGAGCACTGAGACTTTTTTGGAAGAAGCACAGATGTTGTTGCTTAAGCCAGAAATTTCCCTGTTCTGTAAGCGGCCTTGTGTTCTTCCGGTTAAAGCTGCCATGCCAAAAATTAAAATGCCTCTTCTTTCCGCAACAACAAAATCTTAGAGCCGGTTCTTCCAACAACAATAAAATCTTCGGGTAAAAATACAGTGCTCACAGAAAAATTGTGCTTGCTTTAATTATACTCACTGCTTTTATGTTAGGGTGTGTTAATGTTCTTGTATTGCTTTAATTTTTGAAATCTTAACTTTTTTTGCAAGTTGCTTGGAAACTTGCTGGAAGACAGGTTTCAAATCAAACAAATAAATTAATTAATAGGAAGTGAGCTGATCCCTATCCCTTCTGGGCCACAGCTTGCTTACGTGTGTGAGTGCTTATTTATTTATTTGCATTAAAAACAATAAAACAGTATTATAAAAGCAGAGATACAGCCATAATACCCAGCACCACAGTACTTTAACTACAGATAAAGTTTGCCTTTGACTGGCTTTGTCTCAGTGTGGTCACAAAAGACTTTGCCACCTGATTATTTTAATGGTAGGAACAGAACTACCTAAATTGTATCGAAATTTATTCATGTATGCTACTACAGCAGCAAGAATGTTACTTGCCCCAAAGTGGAAAGAAGCAGAAATCCCAGTAAAGGAAGAATGGATACAAAAACTTATGGAATATGCAGAAATGATGAAACTTACCAGAAGAATAAGAAATCAAGATAACAAGCTTTTTAGAAAAGAATGGAAATGGTTAATTGAATATTTACAGATAAATTTACAGATTTACAAAAATACAGATAAATTTATAGATAAACACATAAGAGCATTAGCAGGATTAGTATAATAACCTGCAGTTTTATAAGAGTATATATTTACAGTAGATAATTAAATGAGCAAATTAAGTCAATTTGGATATGCAGAAGAAATAAATTTAAGGGACCACAGAATGAGGGGGAAGGAAGTCAAATTTTGGAACGTCAAATTGATTGCGAAACGAATGAACAGTATTAACTTGAAAAGTATAAATAAAAAACTAAAACTGAAATAAAATAGTAGGTGGCAAGGCTTGAACCTGCGGTTGTCTTCTGCATGCAGAATATGTGCTTTGCCCCTGAGCTACAAATTTCTGTGCCTGTTGGCCCCACTTTGACTACAGCCCTTCACACCTGTCCTGTGTGGTCTCCCTTTTCTCCCTCTCCTTTCTCCCTTCTCCAGATGGCAGTGGAGGTGAAAGCCATCATGGCCTGGATGGAAAAGAACCCTTTTGTCCTTGGCGCCAACTTCCACGGTGGGGAGAAGCTCGTCTCCTATCCCTATGACATGGCTCGCCCCGTCAACGAGAATGAAGTGGCACCTCCAGTGCTGGATGATTACGAAGAGGAGAACCCGGAAACCAGGGAGACCCCGGACCACGCCATCTTCCGCTGGCTGGCCATTTCCTATGCTTCGGCCCACCTCAGCATGACCGATACCTTCCGGGGAGGTTGCCATTCCCAGGATATGACCAACGGGATGGGGATCGTCAACGGCGCCAAGTGGCACCCTCGGGTGGGCAGTAAGTGTTGAAGAATGGGGGAGAGGTGGGATCATCATCATCATCATCACCATCTTGGAGTTGCTGCCTGTCCGGCACGTTTCCTCTGTGCAAAAATTCTTCCAGGCAGTAGCAGAGCTAGCAGCAGTTGCTTCCATGTGAGAAGAAGGGGAAAGTCCACACACTATTCTTTCTATCTAAACAGCGTTTTATTTACATCAGCAGGCAAAAGAACAAACGATTCCACCAGAACTTGGAAACATGCCCCTCTTACCCAGCAAATAATAATAATAATAATAATAATATAATAATAATAATAATAATAATAATAATAATAATAATAATAATAATAATAATCTATACCCCACCCTTCTCGGTTCAGAAAACCAGGCTCAGGGTGGCTAACAACAATTTTAAAATACTTAATTGATGCAACAAAAAACAGCGTAAAATACAGGATAAAATGTGAATAACAATAAATTCAGAATTCAAAAATCAACTTAGGGAGAAAATCCATCCAATAAACATTAGATGATCACTAGGGCTAGCTGACTAAATTAGTCCTATTTGGGCCAGCGAGGAGACCAGGGGAGAATTAGCTGTGGGGTCTCAGAGCGGGTAATCTTCATAAAAGGGGAGGGAAGGAAGGGGAATAAAAGATCAGGCTAAGTTCAAATTGAAAGCCAGGCAGAATAGCTCTGGATGAATGGAGACAACCTATGGGCATAATCTGAGTCACTGAGGATGGTAAGGATGTGCAGGATAGGGATGCACACTTAGAAATGTTTCCTCTTATTTCCCATTCATTAGTGTCTCATTTCGCTTCACAGTAGAAAACCAGCTTGTCCTCTGGTGCCTGTAACTTTGGCGTTTTCCAGCCAAATGGCACAGCATTTTCGGGTGTTTTTTTAACGAAAGCCAAGCCATGTAAGATTCTCTGTTTTATAAGCAATTAAAAATGGGGCATGGGGACGCGGGTGGCGCTGTGGGTTAAACCACAGACCCTAGGACTTGCTGATCAGAAGGTCGGCGGTTCGAATCCCCGCAACGGGGTGAGCTCCCGTTGCTCAGTCCCAGCTCCTGCCAACCTACCAGTTCGAAAACACATCAAAGTGCGAGTAGATAAATAGGTACCACTCCGGCGGGAAGGTAAACGGCGTTTCCGTGCACTGCTCTGGTTCGCCAGAGTCATGCTGGCCACATGAGCCGGAAGCTGTACGCCGGCTCCCTCACCAATAAAGCGAGATGAGCGCCGCAACCCCAGAGTTGGCCACGACTGGACCTAATGGTCAGGGATCCCCTTTACTTTTTAATAATAATAATAATAATAATAATAATAATAATAATAATAAATTTTATTTATACCCTGCCCTCCCCGGCCAGAGCCGGGCTCAGGGCGGCTAACATCAATAAAATTTCAGTAAAAACATAATAAGAAAAAAAAGAAAAAGGAAAAAAACACAATTTAAAATACAGGTTAAAATGCAATTTAAAATGCAGCCTCATTTTAAAAGTCAAAACCATAAGGGGAGGGAAACGTAAGGGTCAGGCTGTGCCCTGGCCAAAGGCCTGGTGGAACAGCTCTGTCTTGCAGGCCCTGCGGAAAGATGTCAAGCCCCGCAGGGCCCTAGTCTCTTGTGACAGAGCGTTCCACCAAGGTGGGGCCAGTACTGAAAAGGCCCTGGCCCTAGTTGAGACCAACCTAACCACCTTGTGACTTGGGGCCTCCAGAATATTGTCATTTGTGGACCTTAAGGTCCTCCGCAGGGCATACCAGGAGAGGCGGTCCCGTAGGTACATGGGTCCTAGGCCGCATAGAGCTCCTCTTCACAGCCACCTAATCCCCTCTTTACGACCACCTAAGCTAATGGCTGTCACCACATCTCGGCAATATAGTCTCTTCCATCTGTCCTTGCAGCCATGAATGATTTCAGCTACCTCCACACCAACTGCCTGGAGCTGTCCATCTACCCAGGGTGCGACAAGTTCCCCCATGAAAGTGAATTGCCGCAAGAGTGGGAAAACAATAAGGAATCATTGCTGACATTCATGGAACAGGTAAGGTCCAGCTTGGGGGTGGTGGTGATGGGAGGTCAAGGACCCCTGAGCAATGAGGAGTGGGTGGCAAATAAACAACTCACCCCGAGTCAGTTAATGCTGACTTTAAAACTCTCCCAAGGCTACACACCTTCACTGGCCCTGCTTCACACTCTGAGTGTTTTTGCCTGGCTGAAACATGTCCTGAAAGGCCGATGTTGCCTCTGGCGTATCTGGTGACAGGAGCGAGCCAGCAGTAACCCCACTGAGCACATTGGGAGTTCTCTTTATTGGGAAAAAAAGGGTCTGTACAGGAGTGTCAGGCCTAATGAGCTCAGTAGCTGCTGAGGCTGAAGGTCCCTGCCTCCCCACGGCTGCCTAAGTCCCCTCCTCTCCAGAGTTTTCCCCAAGCAATCTGAGGCTGAGCCTGCATGAAGCTACCTCCACCCTCTTCATGCCTCTACTGGTTCTGGGAGACCAGAGGGGAGCTTGTCGCAGCAGGAGGGGGACATTCCTGCCTCCTCACCAGCCAGACCTACCTTTGCCTATTGGTCTCCCTCCTCTCCTGCATCTCATTCTGGACTTCTCTCTGCTACCAACTCCCCCTGCTCACCGAGCCCTGTCACCTCTTCAGCTTCCGACATCCCCTTCCAGTCTTCTCCTTCTGACTACTCATTGTCGACCCACCACCAATCCCCTGGCTCTGAGCCTTCTTCCCTTTGGGGTTCTCCAACTGGTTCTCCCCCAGTGTGGTGTAGTGGTTAGGAATGGTAGACTCGTAATCTGGTGAACCGGGTTCGCCTCCCCGCTCCTCCACATGCAGCTGCTGGGTGACCTTGGGCTAGTCACACTTCTCTGAAGTCTCTCAGCCTCACTCACCTCACAGAGTGTTTGTTGTGGGGGAGGAAGGGAAAGGAGAATGTTAGCAGCTTTGAGACTCCTTAGGGTAGTGATAAAGCGGGATATCAAATCCAAACTCTTCTTCTTCTTCTCCCCGCCCCCCAATTTTTCTGCATCCAACCAGTTCATGACATGTTGATGGAGAGGTGTGTGTAGAAGCCGTACAAGTAAAATTGACAGTCATTACTACGTTGTCAGGGACTGGACCGAGGAGGAATGGTGGAGACCGCCTCCCCAGCCTGACCCTTCCAGAGAAGAAGACAGTTCAAAATTACAACAGGGGTTTGAGGGAGATCATAGCTCAGAGGCAGATGAGAGGAAAAGCTGGGAAATAATGGGAGAGGAGGAAGAAGCAGTTGAAGGACATAGTGTCTTTAGAAAGCATTCCAGGCCCTCTCTCTCCCAGAACCTGGTGGGCATTGAAAGTAGGAGAGCAGAGACCTCAGAAACAGAGGGCACATTTCAGCACCCGTAGTTATGACGCATAATGGGAGAGACGGAGGGGGGTGGAGACTCGGAGCCATTATTCCGACAGGCCACATTCCCAAGCCTCTCTCTCTGATATTTTGAATAAAAGTAGATAGTAAGGACTTTCTCTTGTCTTGTCCATTCCTGCCATGGGGGTTGGTTTCTCTGCTCTCTGACAGATGCCCTCTTTTGCCTCTCACCTCACCCACCCCTGGCAAGTGGCTCTCCAAAGGCTGCCCCAAAGGGGGTGCAGCCCCCTCTAATTTGGCCCTCAAGATTCTCCACAGGCAACATTCCCTCCTTCCAGACGCCACCCCCGGCCCTCTTGAGGGCTTTCGCCTAGCAGCAAATGTCCTTGCCTGGAAAGGAGATGTAGATGTAGGAGCCTCTGACCTTTGCATGTAGTATGTTGCAGGATGGTATGAATAATTATCTCTTGCACCACTCACATTTGCCACTACCCCTGCCCACCACTGGCACTTGTGCCCCTCCCTGCCCCCCAGATGCACATTAAGGTTGCCCAGAAGGAAATGCAACCTTTGGTCTGGAAAAGGTTCCCTACTATTGCCTTGCTCATATACTAAGATAATCTGTGAACGCCCTGCTCCATAGGGGGCTGACAAGGACAGACCCTTTCTTTTGAGGCACTCTAACTATGGAAACACAGGTGCCAGGTGCTGGCTCAGGTGCCAGATGAAACAAACAGGTATGTTTCAGGTGCCAGATGAAAACTGCCCCTAAAGCAGGGGTCAGCAAACTTTTTCAGCAGGGGGCCGGTCCACTGTCCCTCAGACCTTGTGGGGGGCCGGACTATATTTTTTTGGGGGGGGGGGAATGAACGATTTCCTATGCCCCATAAATAACCCAGAGATGCATTTTAAATGAAAGGACACATCCAACTCATGTAAAAACACGCTGATTCCCGAACTGTCTGTGGGCCGGATTTAGGCAGTGATTAGGCTGGATCCGGCCCCCAGGCCTTAGTTTGCCTACCCATGCCCTAAAGCTTTTTAGTGGATTTTTGCTCTTTCAAAATAGCTTCTGGATTTTCCTTCTTTTAATGCTGCATTTTAAAAAAGCATACATTAAAAAAAAATTGTATGGATGGTTCATTTTACGGGGATATGGACTTATGTAAGCAGTCTTGCAATTTGTTGTTTTAGAAAAGATATAAGTGACTTGAAAATAATCCTGCTGCCTGAAACCTCCTCCTCCTTGCAGATACATCGGGGCCTTAAGGGGACAGTGACAGACCAGCAGGGAGACCCCATTGCAAATGCCTCCATCTCTGTTGTGGGGATCAACCATGACGTGCAAACAGGTATGTCTGCAATGCTGAAGGTAGGGATGTGCAGCCACCTTGTAATGAACAGAAAATAGGTAGATGGATCTTCCATACGTTAACTGGCCTGCAGCCCAGCCAGCAAACCTATAGGTGCCCGACATCCCAGTAACTGGGAAAGGAAGAGGGCTGAACATGGGGAACCAGAGGAAGAATCCAGTTCAGCTTTCTCCAGTTTCTAAATCACTGGCACAACCGCTTTGCAAAGCTCAAGGGGCTTGCAGGTGTGTTTTTGTTCACCATGGCTGCTTGTGCTGCGAATTCTTGGCCTGGGCACATGTGGGCCCTGGCCAAACTTATTCCTGTGACTTACACATATGCAACTTGTAGACTCAAAAGGGATCCCCACCCCTGTTGTAGAACACTTGGCATACCTTGGCCTTAGCGTTGACAAAACATCAGGAACAAAGCCCGCTTTAAAATTATTCCTGCCTCTGCCAAATACCTCCTGCCAACCAGCCACCCACTTCAAAACGCAGGTTCGTTCATGAAGAACGTGTTTTGTGTGCAGGACAAGCTTACAGCCTGCAAAGACTTATTACGTGACTTTCTCCATTTTAAATGCCCAAAGACCTTGCTGCCTTGGAGATATTGTTGCATTACAATAACTCCTGACTGTTGGTCATGCTACAGTGAGGGGGGGGAAAGTATTTGATCCCCTGCTAAATTTGCCCGTTTGCCCTCTGACGGAGAAATGACCAGTCCATAATTTTAATGGTAGGTTTATTGCAGCTGTGAGAGATGGAATAACAACAGCAAAACCCCCAGAAACCCAGAAGACAAAAGTCAGAGATTGATGTGCATTATACTGAGTGAAATAAGTATTTGATTCTGAATGACCCAGAGGAGAAGTGGGTGAAAGTGTTGTGGTCAGATGAGACCAAAATCCAGTTCTTTGGCATCAACTCAACTCGGCGTGTTTGGAGGAGGAGGATTGCTGCCTACGACTCCAAGAACACCGTCAAACATGGCAGGGGACATATTATGCTTTCTGGGTGTTTTTCTGCTAAGGGGACAGGACAGCTAAGTCACCTTTTGCAAAGGAATCAAATACTTATTTCACTCATTATAGTGCACATCAATCTCTGACTTTTGTCTTCTGGGTTTCTGGGGTTTTCCTGTTGTTATTCCGTCTCTCACAGCTACAATGAACCTACCATTAAAATTATGGACTGGTCATTTCTTCATCAGAGGGCAAACGGGCAAATTTAGCAGGGGATCAAATACTCCCCCCCCCCCACTGGAGGTGGGACGTAGGGAACCCGAAGTGCCGTAGGATGTGGAAGGCTACAGGTGCCCACCCCTGCTATAGATCTCTCTCCCCATTATCTGCCTGCATGGGAAGATGGAAACACCAAAACTATGCTATGGGAGCACAGAAACCTACCATCAACCAGGACTGGCCATTTGTCTTTTAGCCCAGTATCGCGAACTCTGATTGGCAGCAGTTCTCCAGGGTCCCAGGCAGAAAGACCTTATCTGCTACTTGAGATGGTTTTAAAGAGATATGCCAGGGATTGAACCTAAGCCTTTCTGCATCCAGAGTATACACCTGACCCCTGAGCTAGGAAATCCCTCTCCTGTTCAGAATTGTTGTCAAACGCTGCATGTCTTTGTCTGTTTCAGCAAGCGGTGGGGACTACTGGCGCATCCTGAACCCAGGCGAATACCGCGTCACAGCCAGAGCGGAGGGCTACAACCCCAGCGTCAAAACCTGCAGCGTCTTTTACGACATCGGAGCCACCCAGTGCAACTTCATCCTGTCGCGGTCCAACTGGAAGCGCATCCGAGAGATCATGGCCATGAACGGGAACAGGCCCCTCGGAAGACCTATGCCGGGGGGGCGGCCCATGACCCAAAGGGAGCGCCTGCGCTGGAGGATGAGGATGCGGCAGAGAGCTCGCCTGCGCCAGCAGATGCGCAACCGCCTGCGCAACGCCGCCACAAGCGCTCCCCCCACGACGCTCCCAACCACAGAGGTCCCCTTCTCGTTCAGCAGCACCACGCTCCCGCCTTGGAGCCGAGAGCCGCCCACTACCGAAACTGCCACCACCTGGGAAACAGAGGTCTACACGGAAACTGTGACTGAGTGGGAGACAGTAGCCGATGACATAACAGAGAAGGAGACCTGGGAGGAGACCACGGGCACCGCTTTCCCCATGACTACGGCAGAGACGTACACCGTGAACTTTGGCGATTAGCTCCAGCCAGCCAGCTTGCTATGACTGTAGGCCAGGAACACTCTGAAGACATTCCCAAAGCTTCTCCTCACTCCATTTCCCTGGAGCAGATGCCTATAGTTGGATTATCATAGTACAGTAGGCATCATCACCTGCTTTTTAGAATCCACTGAGACATCCACTTAGCAGGCTATGCCCACCAAGGAATCCATTTAGCAGGCTATGCCAACCTTAGCATTTACACCATGGGCCAGGGAACCAGTGTCTCTGCAGATGCTTGATGGACAGCATCCCCCATCATTCCCGACTACTGGGGCTGGGCTGCCTGAGACTGATGGGAGCTGCAGCCCAATATCGTCTTGAGGGCCACAGGTTCCCCATTCCTGCCTTCCACCACTTCTCAAGGCGCACATCTCGAGGGTTAACAACTCCGCTTGCTTTAAAGGGGTATCGGTCCAATGCTACAGCAACCTAACATTTGCCAAATGGGAAACGGAGGTGAGTAGCTGAGCTGGGCTCTGAAACAGAAAATAGGCCAAGAACAGAATCCTCTCCCCCAGCTGATTACACGAAGCACATCTATGTTGAGGTGTTCTTTCCTCCACCTCACTTTTGCCCTGAACAGTAAGTACTCTTTGCAGCAGGGGTAGCCAAGGCCATACTGGCCAGGGCGGATGGGAATCGAGATCCAACCCCTGCTAGGGGTAACTACATTGGCTATCCCAGTTTAAAAGTGTGGTATGAGATTTGAGGAACTGGGAGGGAATGAATGCAAACCCAGCCAACATCCAGTGACCCAGAATTCCATGCTCCCTGCCCTGAATGCATTAGAATTAAAAAACATTAGGTGGCATTATGTATCTTCAGA